TTTTTTTCGTGAGAAGTTGGGATGCAATGCCAGTAAAGGTGTTTTCATCACCTTTCTTGCAATGAGCTTCGGCAACGGCAAATACGTCACCATTCACTTTTAGAAGGCCAGGAGCGCCCAACGAATCCACAGTTACAGAAACGTCACAATTGATTTTCTTCCATTCAAACGTTGGAACAGTCGACTTTTTCTCATCAGCGGTCGCGGCCCCACTGCCGCAGCAAATCATCATAACGAAGAGGAGAAGCAGCGCCGCGGAATTAAACACATGCCGTGGCATGTTGGGCCTCGGCGGCTCACTCTCTCTTCCTTTCCTCCTCCTTCCGCCGGATCCGATCACGCGGCGACGGTTGTGTGTGCGGGGTGCCTTCACAGCAGCAACACGTGAGAGCATATAAATATGTGTGTGGGCGGTGTGTGTGCTGTTGGTCCTTTCAGTGCCTTCGGATTTCACAGTAGCGATTCGCGCTTGTTTGCTTTCTTCGTAAGAGAGTGATTGAGAGAGAAATAGAGAAAAACGTGCCAAGAAAAGAGGATGAAACAGTAACACCGCCACCCATCCACATTGCGTGGCATCATCATCCGCACCGCAGTCGCTCCTCACAGCAACAACTCACGCACACAGACACACGGAACAGAAGAAGGACGAACAGTACACCAGGAACACACAACGGCTACCACCACCAGAAGAAGCAGCAGGAGTCACGGCGGGTGTGTCGTTATTCACGCGTCAGCACACACCGAGCTGCGCCCTCACAAAAACAAACAAACAAACAAACAACAAGCGGGAGGCAAGAGAGCACGACCGTCCTTTGCACAGCCCACGTCCTGCCGCCAGTCATCTCACTGTTCTCTCCTCCAGCGCACCCGCTTCTCAACCGCCGGCGCACATCACCCCGCAAAGCCGGAGAATCCCACTTCAGCCGATGGACAGCAAAAAAGACACATCGGCACGCGCAGCAGCTGGACGGGAAGAAATCCGCACTCGTCCCAGGCACCCTCAATGCCACACCACTCACTGGCTGCACGCCGCCAAAATAACGACAGCAACACCTCGACAAGACAAATCGCGGGCTCACGTCTTCCCTCCTCGCGAGGACCGCTGCGGCCAAAGCTTTGTGCGTGCGGGCCTTCTCAGCGTTCACACAGCCCCAAAGCGTTTGCAACACGGCATGTGTGTGCATGTGTCTGTATGTTTCTCAGCGCCTATAATTGCAGAGCAGCCGTGCGGCACAAGAGAGTCCAAAGAAAGCAACGAACCAGAAAAGCCGATAGCACACATGCATACGCACGCAGCACGCGGAATGGGTGCACTCAACCACAAAATCAAAAAGGAAAACAAAACAAAAAGCCGAAGCGTGGGACGACCAGCGCACACACACTCTCATTGCTCCCGTAAAGCAAAACACACACACAGAGGGAGAGAGAGAGAGGTCGCCCACTCAATGCAATAAAAACAAAACAGAAACAGTTACGGTGCTCCGCCCAGGCAGCCAGGCAGGACGGCAGCGGTGCGTGTCGTGCAAAAGAGAGCACCAACGGGCCTGCATGGGTGTGCATGCATATATACAATGGGCACATTATTGTGTGTGCCTCGTGGGGTGAGGTGAGGGCGAGAGTCCATGCAAGGGGACACACACACAGAGAGAGAAGGAAGAGTGTGTGTGCGGGCGGTGCACGGCTCTCTCACACTCACTCTCACGCGGCCACCACCGCAGCCGCAGCAGCACACGCAACAACAGTAAGAAGAAGCAAAAGAGGGGAGGTGATGTGGGAGGCCGCGGTGCTGCCGTCACCGTCGCCAGACTTCGTCGTATGATTTGTTTGAGCGGCGGTGGTAGCTGTTCCTGCTGTTTGTGGTGCTGCCTCACTGAGTGTTGGAACAACGTTGGTATTGCCAGTTTCAAGAACGTCGTGTTGTTCTTCAGAGCTTTGGGCATCATCCTCATCTACCTTATTCTGGACATGATCACAGCTGCCGCTTGTAGAGGTAGATGAGGTTGTTGTTGTTTCTGCTGGACTGCCGGTTGCTACATTCTTCGTTGAATCCTCTGTGTCTGTGTTGTGACTGTGCTGTCCTTGTGTAGCATCCCCTAAAGGTGGTTGCGTTGATTTTGATTCCGTTTTGGATCCTGACGGTTTGTTTTCGTTCGTTACTTTTTTCGGATTCTGTGAGTTTTCTTGATCTGGTATCGGGCTTTCTTCACCTGTTGGTGGTGCAGGTACTGGTGGTGGTTTTCCTCCTCCATTATTTTGACCCTCGTGTTTCTCGGGTAGTAATGTGTTTTTTTCTTGTTTTTTTTCCTTCTCTTTTTCTCCATCCTCTTTCTCTATCGCTTCATCACTTCCATTTGTATCCTGACGACTGGCATCTCCTTTCGTCTCCGTGTCATTGGGCAATTGGTTGATTTCATCAGTACCCGTCAAAGAGGATTTTTCATCAGAACGAGTGGAAGAGCTGCCAGGTGAAGAGGGCAATTGATCGGTGTGTTGGTCCTGGGACTTATTCGACGCTTTATTATTGGGATCCACGTTTTTGTTTTCACTCCCTTTTTGACCAGCTGCAGTTAACTGCCTGGTTTCATCACCTGTCCCTGGCACTCCAGGTCCAGACGGCGATGGTGTTGCTGCACCTGCGGCACCTTTCCCTTCTTTTGGACCAGGCGCTGCATTGCCCTCAGTAACGGCCAGCAGAGTACCAGGCGCTGATTTCTCCGTCTTTTCCAATGGGGCATTATCACTTTCTGATTCTTCTTCTCTTTCCCCAGCTTCAACCGCCTTTATTAATCCCATTCGGGTGGAAATCAACTCGCAATCCGCCGTCAGGCGCACCCTGTCATTTCCTCCATTTTTCGTGTGAGTCAAGAAGTTTTTTTCACCCTCAACGCAGCGGTTGTCCCTTGCATCTCCAAAAACAGTGACGCACCAAAGCACGCAGAGGACACACACCAGCAGCACACGGCCAGTCATCATCATCGCCATCACGCCTTTCACTTAAGTGTGGCCTCCAGCACAAACTAACAACACGTCAATGCAGCAAAAAGAAAATAAAAGTCACACAACCACACACAAACACCGCAAAGTGTCAAATGGCAGCAGCCCAGCGCACATACCCGGAGACAGTTGTAATCATTACAAGGGCAAAAAGACACATATACAGCCCTGAAATAATTGATCAGCAAGAAAAACATACAAAAAACAATTAAAAACAAAAAACATTAAATAAACAGCAGTAAAGTGAAAACAATTAAAAACACACAAAACAAACAGCTGCACCAAATGGCTCCGGTGCGCATGCACCAGGAAACAAACAAGCGTCCACGCAAACAGTTGTCTGCGTGCAGTGCATATGAGTGTGTCTGGGATGTGTTCAACGTGAGAGATGTCGGGAATAACGTGGAGCACACAGCACGGCAGCAGAAGCAAGCGAAGCAAAACACAATCATTATTATCTCTTATTTTATACAGTGAACCACAACACACGCGCACAAATCCACGCGGTTGAGTGCTGGCACGCACAGACCGCATGTACCTCCTCAGCCCACAGCGGTGTACGCCAGCGCGGATGCGGCGAGCAGCAGCGGGGCACAAACCCACGCAGAGCTGCTGAGGCTGCCGTCGATTCTGCGAAGTCGTGACGGTGCGCGGGTGGTCGTCGTAGTTGGCGCCTCCGTAGTCGTAGTACTTGGTGCCTCGAGCGCAGTGTTTGTGGTTGTCCTATTTGGGATTTTCATCCTCTCGCTTGATATCCGTGCCTTATGATTCTCATCGCCTCGTGTATTTTACTGTGCCTTTTGTTTTGTGCGTCTGAAATACCGGTTGCGCCTTGTGTGTGTGTGTGTGGAGACTGAGTTGCCAAACCTCGTGGCTCTGGATTATCGCTAGCCGAACTCAGTGACTCTGGCGGAACTCGTGTCTGTCCAGTGATAGCTGTGCCTGCTTCCTTTGGCAAAGAAGGTCCTGGAATTCTCAAACCCTCCTCGCTGTCTCTCCCACTCTCTCTCTGTGGCCTACCGGTCTCCCCACCATATGGCTGTAATGCACCAGGCATGTTTCTTGTAGGATCCGGTTTCCCTAGCTCAGGGCTGGGAGGACGGCTGTTATCATTATTATAGTCTCCTGTCGCCGTCACGCACACGGACGAGCAGCAGCAGCACAAGAGCGCAAGGACCAACACGGCGCCGCACCGTCACCATCGCCACCATCGCAGCCATCATCACCCGTGGTGTAGTCGCTGGAGTCAGCTGATCCGTGAGCCAGAAGAAAAAGAATGGAACAAGAGGGAGAGGGACGGAGTGCAGCTGATACAGCGAGAGAAAGCAGACAACATGAGGAGAAGGCAGCAGGCCCAGCCGCACAGTTCACACACCACGAGACGGCATCCATGCAAGGATGGCACACAACTCCAGCAGCCATCCACCATGCAGGAGGAGAAGATATCCTCCACCATCTCCACTCAGCCCATTCTTGCAGCACCAGGGAAATGGCAAAAACCTGCGACCAACACACAACGCACACGCGCAAGCGAACCCTCATCCATCCATGGCGCGGCTACAAAATTACCTGCCATCCCGCCCTCAGTGGGACACGGAGCCCAACTCAACGCAGTCACACGCGGTGCATCACACCCGCAGGAAAGGAGACTCGGGCTGCGCGCTCCCTCCTCCCTTCTCCTCATGGCCACGGAAGAAGGAAACAGCCGCCACACACAACTGCCAGCATGCACTGCAAAAGGAGCATTCATATCCACTGCAATGTGCACCTTGTGTGGTTGTGTGTGCCTGCAGAAACACAAGGCAAAGAAGAAAAAGAGGAGGCAGAGTACGTGGAGAGACGCAAAAAAAATGTACAGCAGAAGTGCATGGCAGAAACAACAACAAGAAGAAGACCGCTCAAACTCATGACTGCGCTGCAGCCCAAGCAGCGGCAATTCACACAAGATTTATTTAAAACAAACAAACAAACAAAAAGAAACGTTACCCTTCGTCTTACGTAAACCCCATCACACAAAATAATTATAGATGAAAAATAAATCGTCCACTACCGTTCCACACAAATTTTAAAACAAGAAAAAGAAGTCGCCTGGCTGCCGTGCGGCCACACCAAACTGTCTGTATACATTTTGCCCACAAAAGAAAATTGAAAAGATGGTTACGTGTGCTTCAACCGTCTGACCCTCCGTGTGTGTCCGCACATCGTTTATATTTCATGGGGTCATCTGCGTGTTGCTGCTCCCCTCAGCCCTTTCATCGGCGTGTGAGTGCGGCCCGCAGAGCACAGTCACTCGTGTGTGTGGGGACTGAGAGAAGCACGCAGAAATGACGGGAGTCGCGTCACTCCATCGGGAGAGTGAGCGCAGCAAAAACAAAGAAAATCATCAGGAGGGAGAGAAATGCTCACGGGACTGCCAGCGGGAGAAATGAACAAGCAAAACAAAAAATCTTAAAAACACGGCGGCAGGGTGTGGCTGTGTGTGTGTGGCGCTGCGGGTGTCTGCCCGCCCTGGCCGCAAGAAAACAAAACAAGAGGGAAGAAATGTGCGCTCCGCCCCACCGGCCCTCGTCGCACGCCCACACGTCACGGCTCCCTCAGCGCGCCGTTCGTCGCGGCCCCTCCTCATGCGTGCAGCAGGCGAGGCGCACAGTGCCGTCGTCATGAGCGTGTCGGTGGGTGTGCGAGTGGAGCAGTTGGGCGGAAACACACGGCACCCCTCGCAGGAAGAGTGCGGAAGAAAAAAATTAAGAAGGGAAGAGTAGAAAAGAAAAAAACGTCCATAGTGATTGCCCCAAAAGCAAAAAAGAGGGATGAGGGACGAGGGAGTTTAAAAAAGAAAAGCAATAAAAAAAACGCACACTCGCACACACAAAAAAAAAAGGGAAAAAAGGAAAATCACACACAGAAAAAAAGCAAAAAATTTGTCTTTTACGGAGAGTAATCCATTACCAGGAGTGTGTGTGTCGGTGGTGGAGAAGGACTGAAGGGTTCCACACTGAGGCGACACACTCCTCACAGAACCGCAAACCCCCACAATCCTAACACAAGAAGAAGCAACAGCAGTATCCTGATCTCACGCATGGTGCCAGCATCACTGTTATCTCCCTGCGGCAAATTTTCAAGTTTGCTGCTGGGTGCCGTAGCATTTGGTTCCCTGACCCATGGCTGGAATTCTTCCTGCCCATATGTTCCTCCCGCCGTCTCCCCATTCCCACCACTGCTCCCCATCAGCGATTCCTTTCCCGTCTGCTGTGGTTCGCCAGAAGACTTGGAGACGACTCCCTGCGCAAATGGTTTACTTACCGCTTTTGAAAGAGTTTCCTCCGCCGCCGTGCTTCGCTCTTCCAGCTTTGAAATAAGAACTTTATTTGCATTAAGTGCATTAATTTCAGTGTCATCCAACGGGCGGTTGTACAACAGGACGTTCGTCACAGTCACAGGCACGACTTCTCGGCTTTCTGTGTTTTCTGCGCTGCCTCCATCGCCTCCAATATAGAAGTGTGATATCCCTTTGGGATCAGCATTTTCCAGTTCACACGTCGCATTCCCCACACGCTGACCATCAACGTACGCGGAGCCCTGGGTGCTGTTCTGTAGCACAATGGCCACCTGGTATGTTGTATCTGGCTCCCAATCACTGCTGAGAGCATTGCGCGATCCGCCACTCTGCAGCAATTCCCACTTCCCTTCCTTGTTGTACGAAAGTCCCAGAAGTACAGCACTCTTACCACCATTCATCTTCTTCACACCCATCAAAGGAATAGGGGTAACTCCCTTCGGCTCACCGTGGATCGACACCGTCGCCAAAAGAGTGAAGTTGTAATTCGCAAAGTGGTACAGCTGATTCTCCCCTTGCTTGCCAACGGGCCACTCCGCCCACGCTCCCCGGAACGTCGCACCATCGGCATACCCTGTAAACGTCACGCCATTTCCCGTCCCAATATCGCTCGTTACTGTGGCGTCCACCCCGAGGTACTCGTCCCTCCACGTGCTCTCAGAGAAGTTGCCGGACAAAAAGCCAACCAGCCCATCCGTGATTTTACCAGCATCGCAGGCAGTGCCAGTCGAGCGATCCTTCTCAGCAATTGAAGTAGGGCACAGCTGAGAGACACGTTTGTCCACTTTCTTCCACGTCGCCAGCACCTCCTTCACCCGCTTCAGCTGCGCAGTCAGAAGCACAGAGACCATACCGGATGATGATTCGCCCTTCTTCTTCTCGTACAGTGCAATCAACTTCTCATTATTATTATTTCCACCACTTTTGTACAACAGGGAGCTGGCGGCAACGTCGTCATCGTTCCCGGATACCGGCCCAATATCAACAATGTGCGTATTGTCCGTCAGCCAAAGATGAAGTACACCCTTTTCGTTTTTTCCTTTATTCTCAGGATACACCGGCAGAGTAACGAGCATCACGTCCTTTTCCTCAATCCTCGCTGTGGTAAACCCGCTTCCAACGCCCTTCTCATGTCCCGTGTGTTTGCTGCTCCATACGCGCGAGAGTGTCCCGAGTGCCTCCGTCCACGACTCCGTTAGAGCGAACTCGTATACCCTGCGGCGGCCATCATCACACGCAGTCATCATCATGAGTTTGTCCTTCCACTCCACGACGGAGGGATCACTGCAGCCATCGTCAGACATCTCCCTCGATACCGTCCAACCCGCAGTGTCCGAGGAGTACATAATCAGCGAAACGGCTTTCCCATCCTCTTTTGTGCCTTCCACTGGAAACAAGAAAGTATCGCCTTTTATCTTAATACCCGATCCGCCGCCGCCTATCAGCCCTGTCAAGAATTTCCTCTCTCTGCTGCTAGAAATCCATGGGAGATCGTAAGTATCTTTCCATTGTATTCTATTGCCACTGCCCTCTTCATTATTGTTGATGTTACCTTTTACCAGCGATAGTCCCCATTGAAACACAGAATCCTTCTTAGCCTCATATGTCCAACTGTAGTTTCCAGCAAGCATGTAAATGTCACTCCCATTCACAACTGTTGTTGGTCGGCTCACATGTACCTTCTTCACTCTTTGAGTGCCAGCCAGAACTGCTGTTTGGAAGGGGCATTGAGCTTCTCCGGAAGAACAGTTCCCCAGTACTTGTGTCTTCAAGTTACTTGTATCCAACTCTTTTGGCTTTTCATCAGTCAAAGTCAACAACTCCGAGGCAATCCCAGTAAAAACACAATTATTGTTTCTCGTGCACTGCGCCTCCGCAACGGCAAACAAACCACCATTCACCTCAACAAGACTGGGAACACGGAGTGAACTCACTGCTTCATCGTTTTTCTTGTCTCTCCAAACAAAGAATTCCTCCGGCGAAGAAACCCGACATGACTTTGGATCAGACGACTGCTGCACCTCCGTCTGAGCACTTCCACTGTCGCAGCAAATCATCATAACGAAAAGGAGAAGCAGCGCCGCGGAATTAAACACATGCCGGGACATGTTGGGCCTCGGCGGCTCACTCTCTCTTCCTTTCCTCCTCCTTCCGCCGGATCCGATCACGCGGCGACGGTTGTGTGTGCGGGGTGCCTTCACAGCAGCAACACGTGAGAGCATATAAATATGTGTATGTGCGGTGTGTGTGCTGTTGGTCCTTTCAGTGCCTTCGAATTTCACAGTAGCGATTCGCGCTTGTTTGCTTTCTTCGTAAGAGAGTGATTGAGAGAGAAATAGAGAAAAACGTGCCAAGAAAAGAGGATGAAACAGTAACACCGCCACCCATCCACTGTGATTGGCATCATCATCCGCACCGCAGTCGCTCCTCACAGCAACAACTCACGCACACAGACACACGGAACAGAAGAAGGACGAACAGTACACCAGGAACACACAACGGCTGCCACCACCAGCAGGAGTCACGGCGGGTGTGTCGTTATTCACGCGTCAGCACACACCGAGCTGCGCCCTCACAAAAACAAACAAACAAACAAACAACAAGCGGGAGGCAAGAGAGCACGACCGTCCTTTGCACAGCCCACGTCCTGCCGCCAGTCATCTCACTGTTCTCTCCTCCAGCGCACCCGCTTCTCAACCGCCGGCGCACATCACCCCGCACAGCCGGAGAATCCCACTTCAGCCGATGGACAGCAAAAAAGACACATCGGCACGCGCAGCAGCTGGACGGGAAGAAATCCGCACTCGTCCCAGGCACCCTCAATGCCACACCACTCACTGGCTGCACGCCGCCAAAATAACGACAGCAACACCTCGACAAGACAAATCGCGGGCTCACGTCTTCCCTCCTCGCGAGGACCGCTGCGGCCAAAGTTTTGCGCGTGCGCGCCTTCTCAGCGTTCACACAGCCCCAAAGCGTTTGCAACACGGCATGTGTGTGCATGTGTCTGTATGTTCCTCAGCGCCTATAATTGCAGAGCAGCTGTGCAGCACAAGAGAGTCCAAAGAAAGCAACGAACCAGAAAAGCCGATAGCACACATGCATACGCACGCAGCACGCGGAATGGGTGCACTCAACCACAACAATGAAAAACAATAAAACACAAACACAAAAAAGAAGAAGCCGAAGCGTGGGACGACCAGCGCACACACACTCTCATTGCTCCCGTGAAGCAAAACACACACACAGAGGGAGAGAGAGAGAGGTCGCCCACTCAATGCAATAAAAACAAAACAGAAACAGTTACGGTGCTCCGCCCATGCAGCCAGGCAGGACGGCAGCGGTGCGTGTCGTGCAGAAGAGAGCACCAGCGGGCCTGCATGGGTGTGCATGCATATATACAATGGGCACATTATTGTGTGTGCTTCGCAGGGTGAGGTGAGGGCGAGAGTCCATGCAAGGGGAAACACACACAGAGAGAAGGAAGAGTGTGTGTGCGGGCGGTGCGTGGCTCTCTCACACTCACTCTCACGCGGCCACCAGCGCAGCAGCAGCAGCACACACAACAACAGTAAGAAGAAGCAAAAGAGGGGAGGTGGTGTGGAAGGCCGCGACGCTGCTGTCACTGTCGCCAGGCGTCGCCGTGTCATTCAGTTTACGGTCTTTGTCTGCAAAGTTTTTTTTCCCGGTTTGCTCTTCATTTCCTTCGGCTTCTGCATGTGTTCCTTCTGCTTTCTCCACTTCGTTTTCATTTTCTTGCCTTGTGGTTTCTGCCCCATTGTGGGCATTGTCCTTTCCGGATGTTCGTTTTTTGTCAAAATTTTCATTTGTTGCTGCTGTTTCTGCATCTTCTTCTTCTCTTGGTACCTCTTTTTTGTTGTTTGCCTCCTTTGCCGCGACAGGTGTTTCTTGATTTGATTTTGCTCCAACGGTTGTCTGTTCTTTTCCTGCATCTTCTGGTTGCGTCTTTTTTCCCGGGGCTCCTGTTTCTGTTTCGGCTGCTTCTTCTTCGGTAACTAATTCTGCTGATAACTTCTCTGTCTGTGACGGTCCTGCTGATTCTTGCGTTTGCGTTCTGCCGGCGTCTCGATTTCCCCCAGTGTCGCCATCATTCTTTTTCTCAAGATTTCGACGATCCGTAACGTCAACAGGGGAAGCAGGCTGAAGAGCTACGGGTGCTACGGCAGAAATACCATCGGTAGCACCACCCCCATTCACTTCTTTTTCTTTTTTAATGCTTCCTGAATCTTTTTCCGTCTGTCTTTCACCCTCTTCATTATATTGGCCACCAGATGAAAGTATGGTGACTTCATTATCTCCCTCGGGATCTTCAGCGGCTTTATTTCTGTTCTCTTCATCCGTCTCCGTGTTGCTCTCTTCCAATCCATTTTTCACTTCATGTTCTTCGGTTTTCACAATTCTTTCCTCAACTTGAAGCGTTTCACCTTTCTTGTTTTCTGGGTCTTCATTTGGTTTCCCGATGGCTGCATTGTCAACTTGTTCGTCACCATTGGTGCCTTCATTACTTCTGTTTTCCACCGTCGCCTTTTCCCCCTTATCCGTTTCCCTTGATGGTTCTCCATTTTTGTCTTTCGCCGTCTCAAGAGACCCTGCGGGAATCAGTAAATTCCCTCCTCCTGTTGTTGTATCCGCCAGTATTGGCCCTGGAGCGACCGGTGATTTCAATTTTGGATCATCCGGCAAAACAGTGCCAGTCCCTGACACAGCCTTTTGGGAGGACACGGAATTTCTGCCATCATTACCAGAACCGCCATCAGCAGCAGCCACGGCGAACTGTTGACGCCTCCAACGGCGACGGCCATCCACAACGGTACGCACACCATCCATCCCCTGACGCACGCACTCCTCAACGGCGGACGGATTTGCCCTGCCTCCTGTCCTCCTGCCGGCCTCCTCCGCGCATTCCCTCCGCAGCTGAGCGTGCCGTCCCGCGATCAAATACTCACCCGCACCGCCATCACCACCAGCACCACCCGCCGCCGACACAGCCACCGCAGCAACACAGCACCACAGCACGCAGAGGGCACACACCAGCAGCACACGGTCAGTCGTCGTCATCATCACTCCTTTCGCTTGCTTGTAGCCTCCAGCACAAAATAAATCCCCGTCAACAGCGGGGGGAATCAAAGGAGATACAAGTCACAAAACACGCAGCCACCGCACAGTGAAAACTGGCAGCAGCCCAGCAGCGCACACAATATGAGACAGTTGGAATCAGTGGGAGAGCAAAAAAAAGAAAAAAAAGCACACACAGAGACAGCCCCGCAGCAATTAATCAACAAGAAAACAAAAAACGAAAACGAAACAAAACAAAAACAAGAGTACAAGAACAGAAAGCTAAAAACAAGTAAACACACATGAAAAAAGGCTGCACCAAATAGTTCCAGTGTGCATACACAAGAACACAAACATGCATCCACACAAAGAGTTTTGTACGTGGCATGCGTATGAGTGTGTCTGGGATGCGTTCAACGTGACGGATTTGGTAACAACGCGGAGCACACAGCAGGGCAGCGGAAGCAAACAAAGCAAAAAAAAATCATCATATTTTCTCTTATTTAGTTACATCGGACTACAGTAGACGTCCACACGTCTCCGTGGCTGAGTGCTGGCACGCACAGCCCACGCTCCCTTTTAGCCCACAGCGGTGTACGCCAGCGCGAATACGGAAAGCACCAGCGAGGCACAAACCCACGCAGAGCTGCTGAGGCTGCCGTCGATTCTGCGGAGTCGTGACGGTGCGCGGGTGGTCGTCGTTGTTGGTGCCTCTGTTGTAGTGGTCGTAGTCTTTGTAGTTGGCGCCTCCGTAGTAGTGGTTGTCGTCGTGGTTGTTGTAGTCGTAGTTGTAGTTGTTGCCTTAACAGACTCCTCTTCTGCCGTTGGCGGGGTAGATTCCCCACTTTCTGGCTCCGCCTCACCGCTCCCCTGCCCCTCCGCTTGCGCACCAGCGCCCGTAACTGAACCATTTATTTCACCGGGCTTCTCATTCCCTTGTGTCTCTGAAGGTGACGAACCCACGCCGGTGGGTTGGACTCCACCAGGATTCTCTGCCGCGCATATGGACAGGCAGCAGCACAAGGCGAGCAACAACAGGACGCACAGCAGACGGCACTTCGTCATCATCGTGAGTGTGGTCGTTCAGTGGTGTGAAGCTGATCTGCACAGTGAGAGACATGGAGAGCAACGGAGGAGAAGAGAGGTGCGGCACACACAGAGGGCACACCACATGAGGAGAGGGCAGCAGCCAGGCATGCACCGTACGCCGCACACCACGCACGACACACACTCCAATCCACGGCAACAGGCACACACACACACATATATATATACAGAGATGGAAGAGGGAGAGACCAGCAGGGCTGCACACAAGGCTCCACCGCATGTACACACGGCGAGAGCGGTCCGTCGTGTCGACACCCCTCACGGAGGGTACGCACACACACAAGAAGGTGCAGCGCAGAAAGCAACACAAAAGCAAAGTAACAATACAAAAAGGGAGAGATCCCCGCACACCACGTAAGTTGTTGGTCCACGGGAATCGTACCCAATATTCATCAAAAAAAAACAATTCAGTTGCCATCGGCCTTCGTTCATATTCAGCGCACACCACTTCATGCAGGCCTGGAAATCACAGCAGCAGCAGCAGCACACGTAAATATAAGCGCAAGGAATGGAATAATGCAAGCAACCATTTATTTGTGTTTCAGTTTGGATGTTGGCAGATGTCCGCATGCTTTTTCGTTTTGTTTTGGGGTGGGCAAAAATTCATGCCTGGGTCGTGTGTTGGGAATTCCTGCAGGTGAACAACAATTATTTATTTTTTCCTCTCTTGAATGTTTCTTGTGTTGTTGCAGCCAAGAATTCGGTTTGTGTTGTTCCTGCTTCTCGCTGGTAAACTGTTGCAATAGATGTTTTTCTTCCTTTCGTTGCTGTGGCACCTGATTCCTCGCCGTTTACTGTGGTGGAAATGAGAATATGTGAGTGGACTCCCACGCACCAGAACGCACCTTCGCTCCTATTTATTGCTGCACAGAAGGGCATGTGTGTTTGGTGGTGTCTCGTCCATATATTCCTCTGGGTGCACATTCCCCTGCAGGCTGAGGACGGGATGACGCTCCGTCGCGGTGCACTTCCCTCGCATGCCGCCCACCGTGATTCACCATGCATCACCCTCTCACATACTCCGTGGTGCCACACCGCTGATATTACTGCAGCCGCTGTGACTCCGCGTAATTCACGCATTTGATTGTGCCACAATACATCCGCTCGTGTGGCCGCCGCATCCAAACAGCGGTGCCCAACACCGTGAGCGGCAGTCCACATCCTTGCAAGTCCCAACGCAGTGGTGTTGGACCGTCAGTCAGGCGTCAGACATCAGGAGAGTCTTGTGCTGGCAGTACAACACACAGAGCTGCAGTGAATGACTCGGCGGCGACGCATCTATTTGTCGCAAAGCAGTGAAAGGGAGTCGGGCAAAATAATGCCGGCTGCACTCACGACACCACACCCACAGCCAACGCATGCGACGTGATGTGTGCTTCACTGGTGCTGTGGAATGCCTGCATACGACATCATTAGTGGAGGCATGCCACCCATGATCAGCGGACAGACAATAATCGGCATGGGAGGCCAAAAAAGGCAGCAACGACGCCAGCAGCAGGAGCAGCTCTCTCCCTCTCTCTCTGTTGCCTCCGAGAAGTAAATATTCCACCAGCCACAGCTGACCGTGCCATCGCGACACTCCATGCATGCCGTGGCTGCGTCAACACATCCTGTTCCCTGCTGCACCTCAAAAGATGCCTCACTCCGTCCACTAAGTGCATCGGTGTGGGCCGCGCCTGGGCTGTTCGTGAGGACAACAACGATGTGAGGGTCACCGAGTCGCAGCATGTTTGTTGTGACGTTGTTGCATGGCACCTGCACACACACACGCAGCGCCTGCATCCCTCCCTTTTGTGTTCGCCCTCTGCCGGAGTGGCCACACACACGGGCAGCAGCAAAATCACTTCACCCTCGACGATCCAAAATCAACACCGACATCCCTCGCGACGCAAAGATCTCAGTTGCCAGCACGGGCTTCCTGCCGCTCTGCAATCGACGCTGAAACACGGCACAGTGCACGCAATTATTTTCCTCGTGTGCAGTCAGCCGTTTGCTTCACACATTCTTCGATGGGCTGACGTTCAAAAAAACACGCCACAAAAGCCACCGTGATCGCACACGCTCTTGCGATGAGTGTCGGTGTGTGCGTGCATCCGCTGCTCACACGTGCTGGCAGGCAGCCCGCAGCCGGTGCCTTCGTGCCAGTTCATCGGCTCCAGCACGGAAAAGAGAAACCGGCCTATTCCCGATGCACTTATTCCCACCGGCAGCACCAACACGCCGGTCGTCAGTCGTCATTCCTCAGCAGATCCAGGAATGCTGAAAAGTGACGTGGAGCTGTCAGCCAGCAATGCCACAATCCCGCACACATGTCGGCTCCACCAGAGAAGACACAAAAACCACAAACAACACCCTCCACATGTCATCCGAACATCATTCCGACACACCGCGACACGCAAACCGGAAGTATTCTTCACTCCATGCACCTCCCCACACAATCAAATAGTCCATGCACCACGCACGGCAGCGGCTCACATGCAGTCAAACAAATGTCCCTCGGGTCAGTGGCCTCCACATGCTGCGGTGGGAAGTAAACAAAAGAGACGAGCTGCCAAACCCCAAAAGGGTGCCATGACTGGTCGAAATTCAACGAAACGCAGCCACACAAATGAATTCAGTCCTAATGCCCTCAGCCTCCCACCTTCCCCACAAATGACCCAACAACCGCAAATTCAATCCCCTGTCAAATAAAGTTTCTGTGAAACAGCAGGTGAAGCCGCATTGTTTTATGCTGTAATCCAAGGCCATTGTCACCTTCACGGGGACAGGCGCACATTTGTCATTCTCAACAACGCTGAACATCTGCAACGGCTTCTTCAGAAACGCAAGTCTCCTAACAAATCAGAAAACGCCAACGCACCATCGGCCCGCACCACAATGTAAAGAATAGAAAAATTCTTCTTACACACACCAAAGTAGATCATCCACGCCGCCGTCAGCCGCGACTCGGCGCAAGAGCTGGTGCGCCCGTCACAACATGCAGTCCTTTCTGGTCGGATGCGTCCACAGTGCGTTGCACCACGGCGTCGAGGCAATCGCACCGTTTCCAGCTCCCACTCATCTCCACAGCCTGGAAGTGTGGCACGGCGACAGCTGTACTGCATCGCTCGGCCCACGCGTGTCAGCGAAGAAGGATACTTCTGTCCACCTGGCCGCCAATCCAGCACCGCTGCGGAGGATCATTGGGTTCCGCGCACCCACACAACACGAACGGCTCACACGTCTTTGATATATTGAGGACGTGCGTGGCGTGAGCTGCTTAGAAACCACAGTTTAGCCAACACTTGGGAAGGCAGCGGCGACATCGATCCCCCTTCCGAGAGATGCTGTTGTTAATGAATTGCGACGCGTCTGCAGTCACATGGAGATCTCCCGGAACACATCCGCGTCCCTCATGCTGAGCCCCGGATTTTCGTCTGCGACACTGTGAGCTGCAGTGGGGTGGGCGTCCTCCAGCCACGGCATGCCAACGACGCCCTGGACGGTGTCAGACGATCGGCCGTTGAAGCGGCCTGCGCCTCTCTGGGACCGTATGACGCAGGCCGCTGGACGGACGGCTCGTTGTCTCTCGCTGCGCATGCGTCTGGATCCGCTGCGCTGCCACTTTATTCCCCGGACAGCCGCGCTCCCTGTGGAGCCTCACCGCGCAGCTGCTGGCAGCCTTGCGTGATCCTGCCGAGCGCAGTGTCCTGCCACTGAGCTTGGCCACAGACAGTTTTCAGTTCCCCGCCTGGCAGCAGCATCCCAATCGCCCACACGAGTCCCTGCTGCCACAGACTCCCTCTCGGCGATGGAGGCGCTATGCCTTGGCCCGCCGGCGGTGCGCGACGAAGTCACCGAGGAGATTTGTACCGTGCCGCTTTCACTGGTGGATTGAGGTCGTACAGCTGACTCCACATTTCCCCATGACACTGCGGTATCCCACGCAACGTGACAGCGGACGCTGACACCATCATGGCACGATCCCTCCCGCAGGACTGCGCCAATGCCTGGCACG